GGTCTCGATCTCCTGACCTCGTGATCCGCCCGTCTCGGCCTCCCAAAGTGCTCGGATTACAGGCTTGAGCCACCGCGCCCGGCTTAACACTGTTTAGGAGCATCTGTCGCTACTTGCCTGTTACTCCATTTTTATGGAGAGGCAATGACCAGAGCTTATAGGTGACTTAGAAGCTTTTTAAAGAAAGTGAGTTTCAGGTCCACTGCTGTGGACAGTATTAATTCAGATATATTTCCTATACTATATACAGCTCTATTTTTAGCATGTTGCCATACTTGATAATACTTCAGAAAAATGGGAAATCTTGTGAGTATAGAGAAATTTATTCTCTAATTATATATCAGAAGTTCTTTATTTATAAAAGGGCTGAGATAATAGCAGACTCATTTTGGGAAATCTTCATCTATTTTTGAAAACTTTGAATTTTTTAATCTCGAAATTCCGGATGATTGTAGTCTGTTGTTAGTGGAATAAGGCACATGTTAGGGAGGAAAGAAAAAAATCAGGGTGAGCAAGAGATAGGAGGATATTAAAAACTACAGAGCAACTCTCCCTCTAAATCAAATAGAAACCAGACAGGAAAGACTTGGCTAAGATGAAGTAGAAACAACAGGCTACTTGTAGACAGAGAGGAGTAACCATTCTGATTTTTAAAATATTTTTAACATATTGCCTCTTAAAGTTTAAACTATGATAAATACTTATAGACATATACTGGTAAACTCTGTAGGCCTTTATATTAAATTAAGGGATAGAACAGTTCTCTAGATTTAGAAATTCTGTATTACTCTACTGAGTTGTGATTTTAAGTTAATCGTATTAGCTAAACCCATCTGTCTTTTATACTCTCTACCTATAACTACATTGAGGGTAAGCAGAGTAATCTTACTCCTTTTGCTAACAGTATGAATTATCTATCTATTGGATCTTTGGGGTTAAATTTGGTCATTGTTGGTAATAGGTCACAACGTTTTATTTCTCTTCAAAGCAACAATATATTATGTGTATTATGCAGCTTGAACAAATCACTTGTAAAATAGGTGGTCTTTTGTGTTTTACAATTACTGTATTAATTAAATTACATGTATGATTGTATTTTATAGTGAATCAAGCATTTCTTTTAAATTTTTCTTTATTTCAAAATAACTC